AATATGTTTTATTTTTAAATAGTGACAAATGATTTTATAAGTTTACATGTTCTGATAAAAAGATTTAAATTTTCCGCTATTTTTACAATGGGTCGCTCCGGTGGCCCTAATGTGACTTCTCGGATCGGATCGGGCTACCCTCATCGATCTGGGGGGGTTACATTTAGTGGTATCAGAGATATGGTTTGAGTCAAAATTTTTCAAGATAGACCGGTCGGTCAAATGTCAAAATATGTCTGATCAGTACATGCCCCTAGACTGCAATCGTACCTCTCTGAGCCGGAACTCCAGGGCTGAGTCCCTATCTGTATTGAGTAAACCAAAGTTTCTATCTGCTAAAGGAATACCAGTAACATCTGTCTAAACGCTGTAAAGTATCTCATGAGCCATGTGAGAGTTATTCATCTGAGAATTTCTGACTCGACTCCGGAAATGAAATTGAGATATGTTGCTGCTCTACGAGCCTATTCACGTATCCAATGCTGAATTGATTTCACAAGAATAAAGTTGTTCTGATTATTTACTTGGACTGAGGGAGAATTCTGAAGAGATTGATTACTCGAGAAAATTTTAAATTCTTTTATTGAAATAAGGAAAATTTATAATAAGAATGTATGCTCAGCTGGTTAAGGATAAGTGGAGGAATCGTACTTTTATAAAAAACTATTGATAGATTTGAAAGAACTGATGGAAGTTTCATTTATGCAATTATGTGACATGAATGAATTTCGAGGACGAAATTTTTTTAAGGAGGGGAGAATTGTAACACCCCAATTTAGGGGCTAAAATTAAGAAATTATAAAGTGGCGGATTTAATTGATATTTTGAAAGAAACATTGGGGATTAAATTGTAAAGTTTTAAAGTTGGCAGACCGTTTTATAAAGTGCAGGAAATTCAGTGGCTAAACCCATGATTTAACCATTTCTTATATATGATGAATTATAAGCTCCTCACCGTGCGCAGGTTTTATATTTTCCAGATTTCCCTTCTCCAACAACCCAACTTCCAACTCCGATCTACTCGCCGTCCGACCTCCAAACGACGAGCCGAAACCACCATCGTGTTCGTTGTCAATCGAGGAACAAAACCCCTCAAACCTTTCGTCGTGAATCATCGCCGTTCGTCGTGAATTTCAGTCGGAAGTATCGTCGGTAATAACTCAGTTTTAGTTGGTTTTTCATAGATTCACGACGATCGGGTCATCTGTTTACGACACCTCCCGCACCATCGTGTTCGTTGCATCGTTCCGAGTTTGCCGGTGTCATCCTTGGTCTCCGTCCATGGCGGCGCATGAGGAGGTGAAGCGGTCAAAGTTTCCGATTTGTTGAAATCGAGCTCTCCGCCGTTCAAAATTGTGAACCGAGCTTTGTAAGTATCTCGAAATCGCTCAAAATAATTTTTAGAAATTTTTCCGGGATTTTAGCACTGTTCACGCGCCCCCACGCGCCGCCACTGCGCGTGGGGAAGAAAAAATGACCGGTTTGACCGGTTTTGGTGCATAGTTGACCGGTTTTACCGGTCACAACCCGACCTGACCCGTTTACCCGACCCGACCCGTTTACCCGACCCGTTGACCCGACCCGACCCGTTGACTCGACCCGTTGACCCGTTGACCGTTGACCGTCGTTGACCACTGTTGACCAAAACTTTGACTGGCTTTGACCGGGTATTAAACGACCTTTGACTTCGACCGAGTATACCTATCCTGACATTTTTCGACGTTCCAAATCCGATTCCACTGTTTGTTTTTCAAAATTAGAACCCGAATGCCTCGAAATATCCGGTCAAACCCGTTGACTTTGATTTTGACTGAAAATTCCAAATTTCCGAAAAGTCACATTTTATGCTTTCGACGTCCTGAATCCGAATCCGAAGTCTGTTTCGCCAAATTCGAACCCGGTAAGCCATCTTTCACTGATTTATCACCCGATTTGATCCGTTTATCGCAATTAAGCTCCGTTTCTGATATAATTTATGTTGATATGTATCTGAGGAATTATTTGAAGTTGAATTGAAGATCAAAGGCATTCGAATGGAATTTTTATGGTCGATCGGTATTGCACGGAAATCGAGGTAATACTTTACTACCTCTTTATGCTTTATGGAACATGTTGATATTGGTAAATGCATGAATAAGATAATGTTGGTCACTTTTGTGGAGTTGAATAATTTATTCACTCGATATGAATGTGGTAGAAATTCTGTAACTGAATACGGATCGAATGACTAATATATGAGATTGAAAGATTGTTAGAATTAAATTACAATTTTGTGAATAGTGATAAAGAAATCAGACATGGATTTGTAAATTATATTTTATATCATCAAAGGATTAAATGTTAAAGGTACTTGGATGGGAAATTATGAGAATACTTCGGTATGGTAAAAATAGAAAATTACCCTTATATTGGAAAATGATAAGAATTGTCCCTGGAAGTGGACTAATAAATCTGAAACGACATATTGATACGATAAATATATTGATGTGCATAAGAAATGATAGTTATACTTAGAAATTATGGATAACCGGTTTTTAACCCCAAGAGGGTTTATACAAGATACTAGAAGTGTGTTAAGGGAATTATTTCAAGATCAGAGAGTGTTCAAGAAAGCAATTAATCATAGGATCTCTAAATTATATTATTTTCGTTAAGAGCTAATATCGAACTTATCTGGTTAAGAAATTACGGAAATGCCCTTAAGAGGTAGAATAGTCTGAGATGACTCTGAATGAGAAAATACTTAGAGGATTCGTACTTAACTCGATTAAGTACAGATTTAATTGTTAAGATCCCGACTTAGTGCAGGAAAATTTATGATATTCCGTTTGTAAAGTCTGAGAAGACACTTGACCTGAAAATATTCAAATAATGAGTAAATACTTGAAGAGTAATTTATCGGGGGTATTCTGCTATCAGAATTGTTCGAACGGACTGGAATAGATAATAAATTGGAATTAAATAATAAGACCGGATTGAGGAAAAAGGTTGAAATACCGTGAATCGGTAAAATGACCAAAATACCCCTGTAATAGAAATGACCCAAGAATATCACCAAGCTCAGGAATGATTGAATATCCTCGAGCTCTGAAATGAATGGAATAAAACTGAACATCAAAATTACCAAAATACCCTTATGGCCTAAATTAAGTAAATGTCTTGGATTAATTAAGGAATCCAAGTAAGATAAGTATTGGACTACCTTTAAAGGTAATGGAAAACAATTCAAGTGAATAGATCAACCCTAAAGCTATGTCAATACCTGAATGACATAAATATTACTGGAACATGTGTTCATCTTCTCAAGTTTGGCTCGATGATAAATTTTGGAAGTATTCAACTCAGCTCTAGATTGTATTCAGTACTAAGAATTGAACGTTTGTTCGACAATCAACCACGAAGACCAAATTGAATGGAATGGAAGTACAACATGTATCTGAAATTCAGGAACGTTTGAATTACTCTGGAAAATCCTGAAGTAACTGGAATAGAGATGACTGCTAAATGAAATAGGTAACTTCAATGACTGAGGATTTAGTAAGTGACTTGGATAAGTCTGGAAACTCTGATGAGTTTACGTAGTGTACAATTACAATGAGTTTGAACAAATTAATCAAGTACGTCAGCATTTCATGATATTGTAGAAGTGTGGAAATGAAATAAAGACATTGGAAGATCTATTCAACGATGATTCCGAAAATGGTCTATGGACAAGAATTGTGGTATTAAAGAGTAAATACCTTGGAAGAACAATGAATTGACCAATCGACAGGCATTAGTTCTGGAAACTATTCATCTAAGAGTTGTCCGATAATTCGATCAATCGATAGATAATATAAATGTCCTGAACCTTCATTTCTTCCTTATCAGCTCAAGTCACTTTCTGAATAACTGATGATTCTGTCAGTTATTGAACTATTTCAATAGTGATTCTGAATTCCGATATTCTATCGGTATACTAAAGATCCGTGTTCCCCTACTTGTTAAGATTATCCAATATCTTTGAATACTATCTGTAAATTCTGGTGTGTTCCCTACTCACATGAATATTTTACCTGATTTTCGATTTGATTTCTGATCTGATACTTGACATGGATTCTGATCTGATATCTGACATGGATTCTGATCTGATACTTGACTTGGATTCTGATCTGTTACTTGACCTGATTTCTGATATGATACTTGACCTGATTTATGTTTTGATTTTTGATATATCCGTTTACGGATGGACATATCTTACTTGGGGGGGGTAATGTTGGAGGAAGTATACCTGGAGGCTCCTCGGCTGTGTGCTCAAGGCCTTATTTACCGGTTCCTCGGCTGTGTGCTCAGGGCCAACTGGACTTGATGGTGGGTGTATGGTTCTGGGGAACCTACACAACTTGGACTTGTTGGATGGGGGTATATATATATATATGTTTTTTTAAAAAAAAAGATCTGAAAAGTTACATGATTTTTGGGAACACACTAGAAAACCTGTTCTGATCTCCTGAACCTAGACATCCGAAATATTTCCATCTGAAATGAATACTATTTGTTACTACATGCGATATCAATGGACCTCAGCTCAACATAAAGATCTGTAAATATCTGAACCAATAAGGAAAATATGTTTATCTATATCTGCACGTTTTTCAGCATCATCTGGTAGTTCTGTATTACTGAGCTTTTCGAAGCTCACTCTATTACTCACCTTTTCAGGTTAAAAGAATTGTACCAGTGCATCTATCGACTTCAGTAAGGGAGTTCTTCCGGCGTTGTTGCAGAGTATGGTACATGTGATTAGGGGGCATGTAATTGTATTTTGATTTATATACGAGTCTGGAAATATGTTTTATTTTAAATAGTGACAAATGATTTTATAAGTTTACATGTTCTGATAAAAAGATTTAAATTTTCCGCTATTTTTACAATGGGTCGCTCCGGTGGCCCTAATGTGACTTCTCGGATCGGATCGGGCTACCCCCATCGGTCTGGGGGGGTTACAAAGCAGGGAGTTATCAATAATATTCCTTCCTCTGATGAAAGCAGACTGATTCAGAGAAACGATCTCAGGAATGTAGACATTCAACCTATTAACAAGGATTTTTGAAATAACCTTATAGATAATTGAACAACAGGAAATTGGTCTGAAGTCTCTAACAGTACTTGGGTTAGGAATTTTAAGGACAAGAGCGATAACCGTGGAATTTAAAGATGAATTCATGAAGCTGTTGGTAAAGAAAAATTTGACAACTGCTATGACATCCTTCCCAACAATATGCCAGGTTTCCTTGAAAAATAAGGGAGTAAAACCATCCGGACCCGGGGCCTTATCATTACCTTGGCCAAAGATGGCCTTTTTGATTTCTTCATCGGTAACGTCCCTAATAAGACTGGTTGCAGCTTCAGGAGGCAAGGAGTAATTTAAGAGATCATTGAGGAGGTTAGGATCAATCTCCTTTAAAGAAGAGTCAACAGTGCCAAGCAAGTTGGTGTAGAAAGAGAGCACTTCTTGTGACATTGAATCGAAAGATTCAAGCCTGCAACCACGGTCATCCACCGAAACCCGTATAGTATCACGTTTATTTCTGCAAGCAACTATAAAATGGAAGAATTTAGAATTTTTGTCACCATCACGAATCCACTGAACCTTAGCTTTCTGTTTAAAGAAATATGCTTCAGCTTCCTCCAGAGAATTTAAGTCCGCTTGGAGACCAATTTCCTTAACTATGCTATCCTCACCTTTCAAAGTGCGAATTTGCTGTTGTTCCAACTCTAGTCTCTTGAGTTTTACTCTGTCCAATATGTTGCTAAAATTTTCCTTGTTGAAACTTTTGAGGCTGACTTTGAGTCTCTTAAGTTTAGAAAACAGAATAGTCATTGGATTTCCATGAACAGCATGATGCCAAGAGAGCCTAACTACATTCAAGAAATTAGGATGAGCAGCCCAAAATTTGAAAGGTTTAGGCCTATTAACAGGGGAATCTTTAAATAACCAAATATCACTGAACAGCAGCCCAAACAAGTTCTTTGATATATATTCACAACTTATATTCAATGCATACCGCATCAGTACCACAAAACAAGAATTTTTTTATTAAATCAAGAAGAGCGTGCTAATTTGGTGTTCGTAATAGTATATTACTAACTTGTGAAGCACGAGTACGGCAACCCAATATCATTTCAAGTATCTAATATATTCTCGAGGTGAGTACGGGTCAAGTACGATTTAGATACATGAGAACTTTTCACGTTGAAGGGATAATGCTGAAATTAATTGAGTATGTTAAAGAAATTTCAAGAGATGTATCGGGGATGACGTTTAGTCTTCATGCACCTACCCAAAGTTATTTTTGAAGTTAATATGTTTATTTTTCTCTTCTGTAAAATCTACTATGGATTGAATTAAGCATAATATCTTTAGTTCTTAGTATATGGACATTAATTGCAAGTACTAATAGGAATTTAATGAATATATATAATGATAAATCTGCTGGGAACTTTTGCATGAGAGCTTAGAAAGATAGGGCGAGATTAAAAGTTTAATCTTAAACAACTTTTCTTCATTGTGTATGTTGTAGTGTAAATCATAAGAACGTTTGATGAAAGGCTACTTGGATTATTAGTTTTTGGTGGTGTTTATGAATGGTTTAACTGTTTGACAGATAAGTAGCATGTAGTCTAAGAACTGTACCCTAATCGTCCTTGTACCTTGTAATTTAAGAAATTTGTATTTTCTCTGTTCATATCCCCGTATCCGTCCCTGGTTGCATGCTGAGAAGAACCCTTTTTCGATCTTACTAACCGGTGCAGCACCGGAAGTTGACTTGGATTCGTCACTGATCTGCACTTTTTTTCTTCTGATTTTGATAGTGATCTGAGTGCTGGTGTTTGATTCTTGGGCATGTGCACTGATAATTTACAACAATTGAAAACAAATATGATCTGTAAACCTAGTATCTGGGGATTTTTTTTAATTTTATTTTCTCCCTAAAGAATAAAGATGAAGCTGTATTGGAAACTGTTTCTGTTGGCTAATGTTGGTTTCCATGTGTTTGTTGCACCTTGGCTTGCTTGGTACCATGTGAACAGTTTTCTTTTATTAAATTCTATCAATAATTCAGTTATGTATTTAGTTCTTATACTTTGATGCCATACTTTTTAAAACTTTAATCTTAATCCATGCGATTATTATGAGATCTATTATTTTTGTAATGATCTACCGTTATTACAATTTAATATCTGTTTAGAATTTTATTAATCTATCAACTAATTTTGTTATTAGTCTCTATATCATACTATACTATACTTATAAATTTAATTTATGTTTTTCTAATTTGATAATTTTAAATTATATAATTTAATTATATTATCTCTAAATTATTTAAACCATAACTAAAATTTTATGTTTTAAAAAACACATAAATTAAGATTGACTAAATTAGAATTCATGATTAAACCCACCACCATTTAAATACAATACATATATTAACCATAGAAAGACTTTTTGAAGGGACCATGTGAACGATTAGTGTGCTAAAATCTGCAACTTGAGACCATAATTTGCGCTATTCTAGCTTTTTTTTTTAATTAATAGGAGAGAATATATGATACTATATGTTTAAATATATCTCTCAACAATTTAATATTATTCATAGTGCTCGAATATGAGACTTTAAAAAATAACAATCGTTCATTTGTTACCGAAATCACTTAGTTTCATGTGTGCAATTCTACCATCTAAATATGAATGCATTTAGTAAGTAATCTGGCCGTTACATTTTGAAAATGGAAACACAAAAGCAAGAAAGGATCCCGCTCCGCTTCCTCATTCAAAATTCAAAAAATAACCCCAACAAACTTCTTACCGTTTAACCCACAATCTTCTTTTTCTATAAAGCTCCCTCCGTCCCCACCCTCCCTAACCATCTTATTTTCTTCCTTCCCTTGTTTTTTTTATTTTCTCAAAGTGTTTTAATCGCAAAAATGCGTGAAATCCTTCACATCCAGGGAGGCCAATGTGGCAACCAAATCGGTTCCAAGTTCTGGGAAGTCGTCTGTGCCGAACACGGAATCGACTCCTCCGGCAAGTACCATGGGGAATCCGATCTTCAACATGAGAGGATCAATGTTTATTACAATGAAGCAAGTTGTGGGAGGTATGTTCCCAGGGCTGTACTTATGGATCTTGAACCTGGTACCATGGATAGTGTCAGGTCTGGGCCTTATGGTCAAATTTTCAGACCAGACAACTTTGTCTTTGGTCAATCCGGTGCCGGAAACAACTGGGCTAAAGGCCATTACACCGAAGGTGCTGAACTCATTGATTCCGTTCTCGATGTTGTCCGTAAAGAAGCCGAAAACTGTGACTGCTTGCAGGGTAAGTTTTCTTCTTTTTCTTTTCTTTGCTTGTTCTTTCCTATATGTTCTCTTATGATTTTGTTGGTATTATTACAGGGTTTCAAGTTTGCCACTCGCTAGGAGGTGGAACAGGATCTGGTATGGGAACCCTTTTGATTTCAAAGATCAGAGAGGAGTACCCGGACCGGATGATGCTTACTTTCTCGGTTTTTCCATCTCCAAAGGTTTCGGATACCGTCGTTGAACCTTACAATGCTACTTTATCTGTACATCAGCTTGTTGAAAATGCCGATGAGTGTATGGTTCTCGATAATGAAGCTCTCTATGACATTTGCTTCCGTACCCTCAAGCTAACTACTCCAAGCTGTAAGCAGATCCCATCACTAGTTTTCCTTTCCGGGTTTCGTTAATCTTTCATTTCGGTTTGACTACGATCATTTTGTTGGTGCAGTTGGAGATTTGAATCATTTGATATCGGCTACAATGTCCGGAGTTACATGTTGTTTGAGGTTTCCTGGTCAATTAAACTCTGATCTTAGGAAGCTCGCTGTCAATCTCATTCCATTCCCTAGGCTTCACTTTTTCATGGTTGGTTTCGCGCCTCTTACCTCTCGTGGATCGCAGCAGTACCGAGCCTTAACCGTGCCTGAGCTCACCCAACAAATGTGGGATGCCAAGAACATGATGTGTGCTGCCGATCCGAGACATGGAAGGTACCTGACAGCGTCGGCCATGTTCAGAGGCAAAATGAGCACGAAGGAAGTTGATGAGCAGATGCTCAATGTCCAGAACAAGAATTCATCCTACTTCGTGGAATGGATCCCAAACAATGTCAAGTCAACAGTCTGTGATATCCCTCCAATTGGGTTGAAAATGGCATCCACATTCATCGGGAACTCAACATCGATTCAGGAAATGTTCAGGCGTGTCAGCGAGCAGTTCACAGCTATGTTTAGGAGAAAAGCTTTCTTGCATTGGTACACAGGCGAAGGTATGGACGAGATGGAATTCACAGAGGCCGAAAGCAACATGAACGATCTGGTCTCTGAATATCAGCAGTACCAGGATGCATCTGCCGACGATGAGGAAGAATATGAGGAGGAAGAGGAGTATGATGAATGATATTAGACAATGTAACAATGCTAAAAAAATTACCAGTTGCCAGTCTCTGGCAAAATAGATCAATCTAGACATGTTTGTTTATGCCGATATGAATGCTAAATTTCAATATTAATAATTCCATCTCTGTTGTTTATTCAATCCTTACAATTGGATCAAAACAAAGCATATATCGTTTTCGTTTCTGCAGATTTCATTAACAGTGAAACAAAACCCAAAGGCAGCAAAACCCTAAGACAGCTCAAAACTGTGATAGAATCATGCGTTTACAAAGAGCAGCATTTTTTAGAACTAGTAGCTACAAGCACACAAAACCTGCAACTACAATTACGAAAAAGGAATCAGCCACACGCCTCGAAATCCAGAGGGTGCACACTACACTCTTTGTCTAATTCAACATAAGTCACAGGTACAGATTTCTTTCACAAGCTTGCATTTAAAAATTAAGGTTACATTCAAATTAAACACTGTGTCACAAATAACTACATATTTCACAATCGGTCACCATACGAAGCACACATGAATCTTGAACAAAAGAAGACGATTAATTTACAAACATAAAACATCTATTTCTTGTCATCTTTAACAACTTTTTTCTACCGCTAATTCGACTTTCTTGTACTCAGAAACCACGGTGTGCACGCTACACTCTTCGGGCGCTACTGGACACTGACCACCAAGGGTGGTCCGAAGATATAGCAGGCAAGAAGCTGTGAAGACACCACATGCACAACCTAAGATGAACATTGCAAGCACTTTCCGAAAACAATCGCTACTCTTGTGTGCAGTTGTTAAAGGCTTGGGGTTATTTGAAATAGCCTCGGGATCAAGTGGTTGAGAATGCATCCAATTCGGAACCTGCCTTAGCTTAAAGCTCCACAAGTGGATAAAGCTTGTTTGTGAAGAATTCCCATTTGAAGAGCTTAAGCCCATAAACACTTCCTCATAGTTCCACAGTTTTGACAAGTCAATCGAGTGCGAAAGCAACGGATCATTAGGCCTGGTACGAGATTGACTCAACCTAATCTCTAGTCTCTTTGAAGTTGCCTCATAATCAATCCAAGAATGCAATTTTTGTACATTGTTCAATACCAAGCTTAGTGATGATAAATTCCTAACTTTACCTGATACAAGACTACCCACATCAATTCCTACATGGTTTTCATTAGAAGAAATCCCAACAACACCCCTTTTACTTTCCTCCAACCCAAAAGTAATCCCAAACGAACTATTTCCTGATCCATCAAAAGTACTAGGAACCATAACAAAAGCCAAGCCATCACCCTTGTCATGGGACATTGAGAAACAAAAGTAGGTTGAAAAAGAAGCAAAGTTCCTGACTTTACCTTCAACAAGCTTGATGGGTTTCTTATACATGACTCTCCCAGCACTCCATTTCACCGAGTTAGTGAGTTGAATCACAGAGCCATCATTAGTAACATGTGCATCCCCATAAAAAGCAATATTAGACTCAAATTTTGGATCTTTACCAAAACTTTTGAAGGAAAAGGAGGAACTATGTTCTAAGGCCAATACTTTAAAGTGGAAAAAGATTAGAACTGGGAAGAAGTACACGGAAATGGAGATTGTGGCCATTGCTGAAATGGTATTTGTTCTTTGTTTTTGTTGGTCTGCTAAGGAATTGCAGACGATAATTCCCTTTACTACTCGGTGGTTTCTTTTTATTTTTCTTTAGAGTTGTGTGTGGAGAATCAGAGAAGAGAGAAGTAAAGAACAAAGGGAGGGTTGTGAACAATAATTCCAAACTTTACTTTTATCTTCAACTTCTGTTCATTTGTCCCTCACTGAGTCACTGTAAGTGGTTGCTGAGGGAATATTATAATGGACATTTTTCAGTTTTGCACTTGTACTTTTTCTTAATCATCATAATGTACTTTATATTTTGTATATTTATATTTTTTTCTAATAACTCTTGAAGCGGTTAGTTTTATTAAAAAGTATCTAAAATTATAGTGAATTTTTATAATCATAAACGTAAATGAAATATATAATTAGGATATTTTTAACTATTGATATAAGAAACTAATCATTTAAGATCATATAATGACCATACAAGGAAAAGTTAAAAAAATCAAACGAATCATAATAGTGGATCAAACTATGAAAACACCATTGTTAATCGTAAACCAGAGTCAAACGTCGTGAAAAAATTATCTTTGAACGAAAATCGTGTATCCAAATATAATTCAAGTGTCCAAAGCATGAACGTTAATATGTTGATTGAGATATGCTAATCGTTTGAGATTATGAGATCATATTTTAGTCAACAAGTTAACTTTCAGCTCAGACTGTCATTAATGTTTAACGAAAATGACAGATTTGGAGCATATGAATAGTCAAGTGATATTTTTTTAACTTTTAAAAGTTGGGGGCTCAACAAAGTAATATTTTATAGTATAGAGATCATTTTATAATTTTTAATAGTTTGAAGATTTAATGAAATAGTATCCTATAATCATGGGATCATTTATGTATTTTTCCCAAAAATAATATAGGCGTGCCTTGCCAATGCCAGGTAAAAATATTTCAAATTTGGTACCCATTTGAAAGCATAGAGTTGTAGTTAAGGTACTTCAACTATGTTTATCGAAATTTGATCCCTTCTGAACAGCATTTAATTCATTTGATAGTAAATGCCATTAATTGACTGCTTTATTGACTCCAGGATGATATGACTCGTGAGGCTGGAAAAGAATCTGCAGATTTTGGTTGCTTTTGCATTCATTAATACTCATACCAGTTTTTTTTTTTTTTAAATCTATTATGGGTTATTGTAGTTAGTGGCAGATAGAATTCACCAACTGTTATTTTAATATTTGACAAATCAACTATGCTTTCTTATTTTACTTTTTGTTTATTCAATAAAACTTATAAAATAATGAAAGATAATTTTTTTTTCCTGGTGGATGCTTGTAATATCCATAATAAAGATTGAGCCCAAGAAAGCTCATGTTTTGTCTCCTTAAATTACTTGCAAAGAGTCGACCAAAAAATGGAACAAAGTGTTGTTGACAGGAGATGTAAAGTTTAAAGTTTAACATGGACGGAGCCTTCACACCTTATACACTGGACGCGTCTATCGGAGTGGTAGCCCACGACCACCATGACCTCGTTGTTGAGGGTGGCTTATAAATTCAGTGGGAGTCATTCGACTGAATTAACCAAGGTTGTTACTTTAATCGAGAGAATACATTTTGCTTTTGAGAATAGCTGGGGAGGGGTAACCATCAAGGGAGATGTCCCGTTCATTGTTGATCGGTTGACGAACACGAATAGAGATAGTTTCGTGATTAGATTATTGTTCAACAAAGCATGTAAAGGTTTTGACAGATCACCGTCCCTCAAAGTGTGTTATGTTAACTGAGAGGCGAATATGGCTATTTATGACCTCGTCATTTGGATTTTTTAAAAATCAATCCTTTTTTATTTTATATGAATGAATCGGAGTGTATAAGATAATATGTACTCCTCGATACAATTGGAATTTAATAAATTTCTCTTTTTTTAAAAAAAAAAATTTGGTAAACCATGATCTGATCCAATATCAGCCTATTTTAACTTTGAACTAATGGTCTTAGGCCCATTTAAGTGAATAAGAATAGCAGCAGTTTTCCCGCCAATCCAGCCCAGGCTCAATTTTACTATTACGAAATGACCCCTCTCTTTTCCCCCCAAACCCACAAACTGGAATAAAAAGTCGATTCATTCATCAACTGTACATTTCTTAAATTATTCATAAACCCTTCTCAAATCCATGATTTATTTAATTTGATCTCCATAAACACACAGCTGTAATAACAATGATGCAAACTGATTTTTTTTAAAATCAATATAATTTTATCCACTAATGTAGTAATTGTTATTATTTTATTTTCTATCTTTAGAGATTTCTAAATTTGTGAGCATCTGAGAGAAAAAAAAATGCAAATTTGATTTTGATAGCGAATGGAAGGTTGGACAAATCCGTAAAGATAAAAAGCTTCGAGGATAAAACTGTCAACCATGTAGGACTCCCAACAACATTTGCCCGATAAAAGCTAGTTATGTAACAAAGACTCTTTGCCGTTAAGTCTGGTACTCGAGACACCGTCATCACTCTCACGCTAAATGGAAACGGAACTGGAACCCGTTGTAAACGGAAACGACCGTATCAACGTCCCATCACCGCCACTCGTAGATGGCGGCGAAGCCGCTGAAGAAGGGGGCGGTTCCGGAACCCGCGAAGATTCGGCGGACGGAGGGCGTGTGCGTAAACGGAGAGTGAAGGGGCCTTGGTCGCCCGAGGAAGATGCGATACTGAGTGAACTCGTGAGCAAGTTCGGAGCGAGGAATTGGAGCTTGATAGCGCGTGGAATCGCCGGCCGTTCTGGCAAATCGTGTCGGCTTCGTTGGTGCAATCAGCTTGACCCGGCCGTTAAGCGCAAGCCATTTACTAGTACAAAGTCTATACCTTTACTAATTTTTATTTTATTTGTCGATGTGCTTATCTTTCCTTAACTTTTAGGAGTTGCTTGGATGTTACTGCATGTTATAATTATGTAACGATTTCAAGTTCAGAGTATCTTGCTTTCGAACATTCAAGCTATGTGATCTAATTGTTAACAAAGATCAATGCCTTCTTTATTTGTTTAGAAACTACAATATCAAGAACTGTGCTTTAAGTGAACCATCATATCATTTCCCCAAAATTTATCAATGCTGAACTCTCTTGATAATGTTGAAATTGAAACGAAGTAGCTAATATTTGCTATGTAAAAGCTTGAATCACATGTTTCTTGTTTAAATTGGGGCAAGAGGAGTTTGGTTGTTTGGAAATGGCAATAATTTTTCCAAGCATTAGAGAAACTGCTTGTAATTTGGGGAAGTGTCATTACTTATAAAAAGTAACAATCTTCATATCATACGCTTGGTATTTGAGTACAAGTAATATGTATTAAGTCGATGAACATTCTGCTTGTAGTCATATGGCTGTGATGACCGGTGAGTATTAGCGTGTGAACTTTCACTTCATCATTTTTTTACCTTCAAACACATTTATTCATTGCTTCGGTTAGTTGGTATGTTTCAGTTTATTAACTTTTGACAAGAATGTATTTTGTTATTTCTGATAGATCAAATTGATATTCCTTTTTTTTGCGGCAGATGAGGAGGATCAGATGATAATTTCAGCTCATGCTGTACATGGGAACAAATGGGCAGTGATTGCAAGGCTTCTACCTGGGAGAACAGATAATGCTATAAAAAATCATTGGAATTCCACATTGCGACGCCGATACATGGATCTTGGTAGAATAAACTCAGAATCTGGAAATATGGTGGATGATGCTTGCTTGGACAAAGACAAGGCATCATCGGAAGAAACCCTGACTTGTGCAGAGGACAGTTCATTCAGACACCTTGAAGTGAAAGATGTAAGCTCTTCGGAAAAAATAGATAATCAATCAAAGGGCAAAGCACCAACGGGGACTCCTTCTAGCCATGAATCAATTGAACCACCTACTCTTTTCCGACCTGTACCCCGTATCAGTGCTTTTAATGTTTATGATAACATGGATAGACCAGAATTTGTTTCACCATGTTCAATGCCGGTTCCACTGCTAGGCCCTTCTATTCAGACATCAAAACCAGATGTTGGGATATGCAAATTGCTTAAAGGAGTTTACACTGATCGTCTAGTGCCTCTGCAATGTGGTCGTGGCTGTTGTGGAACTCAAAATGGTCGAAGTAAGTCTTTGCTGGGGTCAGAATTCGTGGAATTTTCAGAACCTCCATCTTTTCCAAACTATGAGTTGGCTGCAATAGCCACTGATATAAGTAACCTTGCTTGGCTGAAAAGTGGATTGGAAAATAACAGCGTCAGAGCAATGGATGATGCAGCTTCTGGCACAACACCTCATAGATCTCCAGCGCACATGGGACATTTTGAGGAGAGCCGAATGAGTGATCGTTTAAGTATTGACCTGCTGTCAACATAGAATGAGGCATTTGTACTTCTAAATTGAGAGAACGTGGTCAGAAAAATGATGAAGAATGATACTCTTTGCTTTTGAATTAGCTTGGGAGTAATGCTGGAATGGGATCCTGATTTCTCGTCTTCAAGGTAAATGCCATATGGTTCTGAGTCATATTCATTGCAATGCTTGCCTACATGCTTAAATGGGCATAGCAGTTGATAAGTTTGATACAGAGGAGCTTGTTTACGTACTCATTTTAGCAATGCCTATTCACATCCTTGTAAGTTGTACCAGTATGAATCGATGACAAAATTTGAAAATATTGATTTACAATCTAATTACTACGTTTTATCTTTTTTTCCTCCTTTATATGTAACTTTTTTTCTGTTGACATTTTCCTCAACTTTGTTAGTATCTAAAATAACTTTCTTAGTATCCGTATTGGTCTTAGATCATGTTCTACCATTTTCTTCTTGAAAAATTGAAGTCTCCATTTATCAGTCTTTGTTGGGACTGATTTTTGATCTAGTCTAGTTTGTTTTGATAGCCTCAAAACAATCTCATTTTCTTTTCATTACAATAACAATAAATGACAACATCTGCCGGTTAACAAGGAGTTTGTGATACTCTTATTTTTATAAAGAGGAAGGGAATATCCAAGGTTTGAACCCAAGATAAAGGTTCTGCTTGGTATAGAGGATGGAAAATCTGTTAATCTAATGGTTAAGCCATAAAGTAGAAAAGGGTTCTGAATCTTAACCATTTAATTAACAAATTCTTCATCATCCATACCATACCAAACAGAGCCTAAGTGTCAATGCTATACCAGTGGGTTAGTTGACAGTTTTTCTGATACTATACCAGTATGTGGCAAAGACATGGTTTATCTTACCATGAATTGTACTGGGGAAAAGCCTCTAATTGTGATCCATTTAGGATTGCAGAAAGTTGATGAGAACATGGGCTGTAGGTGAATTGGTCATGTTTAGTGCTTGAATGACCTTAGATGCCAAAGAGTAACATGGGCTGTAGGTGAATTGGTCGTGTTTAGTGCTTGAATGACCTTTGATGCCAAAGAGTAACATGAGCTGTGGGACAAAGTTTAAAGTAGGTTTCATGTGTTTAATTCAGAATAATACAACTGTGGCTGCCTTGATATTTTGTTTTGTTAGATTGAAACAGTTAATCAGGGCCAGTTTTCTTTATTTCCTTTGATAGCAAATAAGAGCGGGGTTTTAAAGCTGGTGACGGTGAGCTAACATGGAAGTGGAAGACATCTTGTTTCTCTAATAATGAATGGTCATGGCTAGTGAAAGAAGCACGTCACCCTTTCAGTTCCTAAATATCCTTTTAATCTTTCCATGACTCAAACCCTGAAAGAGACACATGCTAGGGGGTGCCTGAAAGAGATAAACATGCGGCATTCCATTTGCAGAGCTTGCTTTCGTAATGAAACCAAATGCATGCGGTGTCAAACTCGCCCATCATGTCCATTTTCGTGGCATTTCTGTTGGTTTATGAATAGAAAGATTCAACTTTATGCACCGAAGGGAACCTTTCATTCCCTTTTCCCTTCGGTGTTTGTTCAACAAGGATGAGTTGAATATTTGCCTATATTTATGAGAGACCTATCCCCGGAAATCTCATTAGCAGGGTTCCAAATTTGATGGATTATGTGTACTCTCTTCTTTTTCTGTCTGCAACTCTTAAAGAGCATCCAACTCTTTATCACTTGATCAACAGGGGTTAATTATGCTTAAAGACAGGGAGAATCCTTGGTGGAATTGTTAATTGATGTTAGATGCTTATCTTCTACTTTAACAGCTCAAAAAGAAACTATTCCATGGACAAAGAGAAAACATTAGGTTCAACAAAGGTAGCAGCCCCCCCCCCCCCTCCACTTTACTCCTTCCATGGGAATTGCAGATCCAACCGACACTTGAAAGCGATCCAAAACTGATTTTTTATTTCCGTTTCAAATAATGTCCACATCCGGTCTCAGCAACCAATTTTGTAAAAAATTAAAATATGGTGTGATAATAAGGGATTTAAATTGAAGTTGCGATTGCGTTTATCGTGGTAACGATTTCAGACGACAACAAAACTACTATATAACGACTACTATTATAATAACAAATTACTATTTAAATCCCTGGTAATAATTTTAAAACGGCGTCGGCCAACATTTAGTCCTATTTATTGTCATTACGTTATCAGTTTGGCTTTATTGCAAAAAAAATTCTACAACGCTCGTCGATCGTATAACGATGAGCACTATTAAATTAATTTATAAATCATTAAATTATAAAATATTAAACGTATAATTATAAATTAGTTAAAAATTTAAATGTAACTTAATTAAAATACAATATTTATAAAACATTAGTTTTAGGATAAATTATACCATTGATCACCTAACTATTTACCCCTTTTACTTTAACCATCGATTTTTCAATTTTTTCAATCAGGTCAACTAACTATTTAATTCATGTCATTCAAACCACATGTCGTTAAATATTAACGGAGGAGATAACCTGGCAGTTAATAAAATTTATATAATTACATATTTAGTCTACATTACTTACACATTCTATTAATTTGGTCCTAACTTTTAATTAATTCAATAAATTTAATCATCGATCAGATTGTGACATGTGTCACTATGTGATTGGATTTTTTTTCTTAATATTTTTATTTAATTTAATAAATTTTCCATCCAATTAAATGGTGTCACGTGTCACCAATTGAATGAATATAAAATAAATTAAAGAGGTTTGAACCTAAGGCGTAAAGAGAGGAAGAAAAATGCCCTAACCACTCGGCTGCACCATTCAAAAAGCAAACTTACCACACCATAATATTTCCAGGGATTTACTTGCAGGGATTACTTCCTATTACATACGCGTATATGAAGACCGCATATGAAGACTGTTCAACTATGTATTTATTTATTTATTTATTTTATACATACATTGCATTTTATCTTCATTTTTAATTTTATGACTGCCGGAGGTCTTCCACGAAAGCTGCTCTCAACGTATGGGAATAGGGTTTTGTTGTTGTTGTTGACAATAAAAAAAGGAAAAAATGACATAATAAGAATCACAACATGGAATAATTGAATAATACGATAATATGATATATATATATATACACAAATATTATAACTGATTAATATGTGAATATATTTTATTTATATTTTAAATCATTTTAATAAAAAAATAAAAATAATAATATATTATAATTGAAATATAATGAAGAGCCTCATTGACTTAGAATTTTCCTGATAGTTGAGGGCTTACCGTAGTAAGCATTTTAACTTATACTTTGATTTATTTATATCTCAGTTAGAGTAAGAATTTTATACTTTATTATTTATTCATTATATATTTGAAGAAAATTTTAGTGGAAACTTTATTTTATTGAATTAGTCTATTTTAATATAGAGTTGTTAAATAAGATTAGAATCTGATTGACATTATAATATTTTAAAATATAATATATGATATATTTCAGTTAAATAAAATTAGAAGAAAAAAAAGTTAACACACTAACTAATAACATTATATCAAATTCCACAGAAAAGTTTCTATACGTACAATTGGAGAAAAAAATACACATTTAAGGAGAAAAATGTATTATAATTGTCTAATTGTACAAACAAAGTTAAAGTGAGCGTTCCAATCATCACATTGTACAAAAAATAAATCATACTAAGTTATGTGACATAATTAATAAAAAAAATTAATCTCAAAATTAAAATACACGATTCAAGATAACATGAAATGATAATATTTTAAGAGAGAATAAAAATTTAAAATAATGTACATCAAAGACCTTTATACAAATTGATCGTAATATTTAAAATAGGAGGATTATGTTGAATTAAAAGTATAAAGATTAAATTTTAAATTTAATAATAGTAGAAGGACCTAACTAAAATTTGACCATTGAGGCAGCATTGGGCCTGAGGTGGTCCACCTCCAGTCAAACTCTGAGATGCTTTGTTTATAAGTTTGCATGCAGTATTACTCTAATCGATCTTTTGATACATCAAAATCTATTCACTGTTCCCTTTGCATGAGATCAAAGTTAAGTCAAATCGATGCCAGAATTTTAAGGAAATTTTAAAATATAATATCGAAAATCTTATTAATAACATAACTAAAAAGACAAAGTAAAATTGAAATATAAAATGTTATTTTTTTATAATATTTTCAATTGCAATAAAAAGATTACAGATTTGTATAACTTTTATGGTTGCAAGCCCTGAACTCTCCCCGCAATGTAACTTTTTTTTTAATTATCAAAATAATACCAAGATTCGACTTTCATGCAAAAATCCATATTTATCAAGGGTTGAGTTGCATAATATATAGATTATGTCTAAAATCAGTTTAGATAAATTTAAAATATTACACGTGACAGAATCTGATTATATCAAGTGACATTTTTATATTGAAAAATAATTAAAATAATACCAAAGTGACAATTAAAGGATTAAACTTATCGAAGAGATAGTAAATAAAATCAAAACGAAAATTTATTGAAATAGAGGGATCATTTCAGGTATTATACCTTTAAAAGGACATAAGCTACATCTTAAAAGTGAAACAGTAGGAGAATAAAACCATAATTCTTTCTATCTTAAATGCGTGTTTCATTAATGTAATATTACATTACCTGTAATGTAAGATTTTTGAACGAGATTATTTCATTTGATTTCACAACATTGTCTAAAGATAATGATTTAATGTGATTGATAATATTTGTTTAAAAATATAATAAGTATTGTTATTATATGTACGAATTAAGTGATCTCAGTGATTAAAAGAATAATTGTTATTTCTAGATATCTCATATTCGAATATGATATATGTAAGAGTGTTTGAATGTTTATTTTCAAATACTAATTGAGAGTCTTTAAAACATATACTACATTGAAATCATCTCGTACTAATAAAAATATATTACAATTATCTCTCGTTCTACATTGATGATTGTTTTATAATTTGTTCTTATATAGATTTGATAAGATTAAACATGGCATAAAAAATAATATGTGAATTAATTGTTTTAATAATACGTGCAATTGGTTTTTTAAATGTTATTTAATACATGTTAAATGTAGAATTTAAGTAGAGTTCAACACAAAAATTTATGTTAACTTTCCTATTAATATCTTATAATTCAATATTATCAAACGGTTTTCTGATTATTTCTTAAAAAAAGGTTGGAAATATTATTTGCCGAACAATTGATTGATTTAACACCTAACAATCGATGGGCAGTTCTACTGTATGACAGACTAATATAAGATTAAAGAAATATACTATAAGAAATATTAATAATTTTTTAACATTTATAGTTGAGCGCTACCTAAAATGTTACTTTTTTCTTACTTAAAATGTTACTTTTTTCTTACCGAAAATGTTAATTTCGCTATCTAAGATGAATATTTATGATATTAACATTTTCGGTAGAAAAAAAGATAACATTTTAGGTAACGTTTTATTAGAAATGTTAAAAAAATATTAACATTTTCGGTAGCGCATTTCTTAACTTTATATTAAACTGTTTTTTCTTAGACATCCCCGACAATCAATATTAAAATTTTAAGATATGTATGTTAGACTTTAATTCGGTTAAAGTCAAAGTTTTTAACACCTTACGATTAAGTATATATAAATAATATATAATATATTAAATATTTAATACTTTAGTTAATTCGGTTAATTATTCAGTAATTAAAATTTAAAAAAGTCATTCCTCATTGAATTTAAAAATTAATCAATGTAATAATTAAAAAAATTAATTGAACAGATTAATTGGATTGAAACTGAAGTTTAAACATCCCTTCCTTACAAATCTCCAGGTCAAGAGATAAAATCTTATAATTAAAATCAATCCAAAACATTTTTTAGTACAATGCGAATTATTGGGATTAATTTATTGTTTCACACTTTTTTTGAGGAATGTTTGACACATGTTATTCCCATGAGCGGACCCAGCCTATTACGATGGGTGTCAAATGATACTCCAATTTTTTTTTTGAATTTTTTTTTTATAAATTTAATATAAAAACATTTAATAAAAAATAAAAATATATTTATAAAATTAAAAAATATTTATAAAATAATATCTCTAAATATAAATTGATGCTCATTATTCATTTTCATTCACTTAAAAAAGTTTCTTTTTTAATTTTGACATCCCAAAATAAATTTTTTAACTATTTAAAAATTTTCAACAAAATTTAAAGGTTAAATTTATTTAAAAAGTTTATCATAATAATAATATAATAAAATATATTTTTACAACTAAATATCATAATCTTTCATTGGATGAAATGAATAAAATAAGATAATACTATACCTCTACGGCTATACCATCTCAATAATTGTATAAGAGGGTTCTCTTGCGGTTTCATTTAAATATTAAGACTAAGGGTAAAATATAAAAAAAAATCTTTTGATTATAGGTATTTTTTTATGGAGTATTTCGATTATTAAAAAAATATAAAATGATCTATCAATTATAAGATGTTATTTTGGTGAGTTCATTAATTATTAAAAGTTATAAAATAGTCACTGATTATTTATATGTTTTAAACTCGTCATTTTTATTAAAAATAATAATTATCTAAGCTGAACGTTAACTAACTGATTGAGATATGATAAAATTATATTTTTAATGATGTCTACTAGTATTATCGTTACTTTCAAACAATAACCCAAAAACATAATGTAAACATAGATTCAATAAATAAAGTATAGCTCAAACGATTTTAGGTTTATATTTTATTATATCATAATCAATATATTAATATTCAACTCAGACAACCATTAATTTTTTCAAAAATAAATAAATTTATAACATATAAATTATGAAGTCACCATTTATAATATTTAATAATCAGAATATTCAATATTTGTGTGCTTTTTACCCCGTGTTTAAAACAGGCGCTTATCTATTAATTGAAATATTTGAGCTTAAATCCAATTATAAATTGAAGAGCGGCCAAAATGAAGTAATATCCACAAAAGTATTGAAGCAGTATGCCTACCTCAATTCTTGACCGTCCGATCTTTTTCAAGGTTCACGCATCACCATACTGATACCATCGGACGTACAGAATCTGCTTGAGACAGAGATCCCCAAGTACCAACACCAAATCTTCCAACAACTTTGTTTTCTCTTCTTAATTGTCTTACTATTAATAATGTAAAGAAAAAAATTGTATAAGAAATCTCTTCTCGGTTATATGTGCACTCACTGCACGTTTCTGTTTTTCTTTTCTTTAAGCTTGTGTTTCACTCTCTCTCTCTCTTTCTATGCTTTTTTCTTAAGCGAGAAGCCATGGCTCTGTAAATCCTTCCCATGTTTTCACCTTTTGGTTCTTTGGCTCAGTCCTTATTTTCTTCCCTTTTTTAAGCTATTTCATATTGAATGAAAACGTTAATGGAGGTAAAGGGACACCTAATCCAATTGTAACTTGTTTAAATTCTCACAGTTTATACCAACTTTGTTTAAAACCCTGTCAAAGTTTGTAACTTGGACGCCATTGATGATCTTCAAAAGCTTGAAACTTTAAAAGCCTGTTAATGCTTTTTTTTAACAGAGCCTCTACTCAAAACTCCAAGTTTAAGCTTCTGGGTCTTTCCAAAATGTCATCACGAGAGATGTCCCACATCGATTTAGAGCAAGGGACTCACCGCTGGAACGGTAGCGACGTCAGCGCCGATGAGGCTAGCGTCTACTCCAACGCCGACGAGGGTTCTTGCTACTCCCAGTTCTATTCCACCACAGGCGGTTCCTACGACGATTACAGCTTCACTTGTTGTTCAGATGGCGAGATTGGTGACGTTTCGGGTTCCGGAAGGGTGTCGTCGGTCTCGGATTGTTCGGTGGAGGTGCAGATTCAAAGTGGAGCTAATGAAATCAAACTGCATTTGGCTAAAGCTGAGAAAGATTGTAGAATCTGTCATCTGGGTTTAGAGAGTAACAGCCATGAATCCGGCGTTGCTATTGAATTGGGTTGTTCTTGCAAGGATGATCTTGCTGCTGCTCATAAACACTGTGCCGAGGCTTGGTTTAAAATCAGAGGAAATAAGTAAGTAAAAAACAATCCCAATTTCACCTTCTTTTTTAGTGAAAATCAGCCACCTTTTCATGGATCATGGTTGACATTTCTATGTATTTTAGGTGTTAGACTGTTGGTTTTAGTTTTATAAGGTGAAAATTATGCATTTGCTTAATTGGAAAGAAAGATGGATACTACATTTGAAAAACAGGTTCAAAGTAAAGCTAAAGACTAAAGACTTATGTTTTGACTACACCGACGATTCTTTGCTGTTAGGAATCTCTAGCTTTTGTTGTTTTCTCCTTTATGCTCTCTTTCCATGTAGGAAAGTGGTGGGATTTGACCCTTTTTATTGATGCATTATCTAATCTTTGGTGGAAGATCATTATTTGGTGGTGCATCACTTTAGATGTTTTTAATTCGCAAACACAGATTCTAGATTTCTTGCTTGACAAGATTTGGGGTGGTGCTGTTAAGTCATAACTTAGGTACCAAACCATTGGTGCAAAAATTCATTGATTCTAGACTTTTTTTTATCAGATTTTGCATCGCCGTGTTCTGCTTTTCATGCATGTCTGGTCCGGTGTCGTGTTTTTGTGAAACGATTGTTGATACAATGACTACCGTGATCACAGTGAGCCAAATGGTGTTTCGTGTTTCTTTAGCTATTGTACCGTCTAGGATTCTGGTTATGTGGTTGATTGCCCACTCATTATTGATTAAATAGGATTTGAAATGTCTAACAACTGATTAAGTTTACTGGTTTTGGATTGGAATTTACAAGATATCCGTAACAAATGAAAGGTCATATGCAACCAAGTAATTTCTGATGTATTTACATATGATTAGGAACTAACATTTGGAATCGACGAAGACTGTCAGCTATGATATCCGAGTTAATGTTCGACTGTTGAAACCATGAATGATTTGTTATCTGGACAGAGGAGCATGGTCTATATAAGTAGTAGCTTTAAGCATTTAGCTAAAATGCATGGTGCAAGGATCGTATATCGAATCATTAAATCTGCAATGCTGTATGGTTCGTTCTTTATTCAACATCTTTAAACAATACTCTTACCTCGATAGCATATTGGATCATCCTTATACTCGATTTTGTTTTCTTTTTGAATTATAGCACCTCTCCATGCACTCATTCAATCTGCTTGATTCTTTTAGGACCTGTGAAATTTGTCATTCTATTGCACGCAACGTGGTTGGAGTGAACGAGATCGAGTTGACGGAGCAACCAAATGAGACCAACAGTGCCACAGCGAGAGCAGCAACCTATTCAGACTCCCAAAGCTTTTGGCATGGCCATCGCTTCCTCAACTTCCTCCTCGCTTGCATGGTATTTGCCTTTGTCATATCATGGCTCTTCCACTTCCACATGCCGTCATCCTGAAACTTATCTCCGTGCACGGTTGAACAACGTCGAAAAGAACGAAAAATAAAGAAACAGAATTTACTGTAAAGGAGCCTGGGAAACTTGTTGCTGTGATGATGAGAAATGGAAATATGAATTATATACACCTCTCCTCCATACTTGTAGAAAGCCTGTTATGTTGTGCACATTCATCTTAGTTACGAAAGCTCTTGATGGTCTTAGAAGAGCTCTTTAATGGTTATGCTATGATTTGCACAATCGTTGTTGTTCTACCGGATTTACAGTTATCCTCGGTTGTAATTTCAGGAAAATACCATGTCCAGCATTTATAATTATAGTGGGAAATCTCAACAGAATTTCAAAACCAACGATAAATATTGAAGAATACTGAAGAGTTCTGCTATGCAGCGAAAACCCATAATAAATACAAGAGCCTGGAGAAAAACTATGGGGAGAAAACGCGGAAGATAAATAAATGAAACAATATGAAAACCTATACAATATTCAGCTTTTGGTCCTTTTGGCTTCCAAGTTGGTGCCATCGTTGAGGGTTTCTTGGGCATCAGTTTCCATACCTAGGCTAAAGAAGCAAGTTGCTTGTAAATACAGAGCAGTTGGCCACTGTGGCGACACCACCTGCGCTTGAATTGCATCCCCAAGAGCCTGTTGCGGCTTATCATTCATCAAGTAAGACAAGCAGCGTCTGGCGTATACGGTCGGTGACACTATGGTCCCGCCATCAATGAACTACATAAGATACACAACAATCTTCAGTCTGTATATCATGCTGTTTAAACCTTCAAAATATATCTTTCTTGTACGGCATATTAGTGCCCTAGTTGTTAAATGCAAAGAAAATTACTGAGAAAAACATAATCCAATCGAAACCATAATGTTTGGTAGCAACCGATAGCCTTATAGACTGAATAGATTTGAAAATGAGTAACTCACCTGTGTGTAGCGGTCAATTGCGGTTGCAAAATCCTTAGCTCGAAAAGCAGTATCACCATGTTTCTTGGAGTTCAAGGTTTCTTGCATTTGGCTGGTCCACATTTGAAAAGAAAGCTGAAAGGAACAAGGGAATTTGAATGCAAATTACATGACAGCTCAAGTAACATTAACAATGTAATAACTAATAACAGAAGTACTCAAAACAATCAAAGCAGACAGTAAATGATCCTCTGCTTGCCGGTTGCCCCTTGAGCCATAACATATGGATTTCACCAATAATTGGGTGTTGAATTCAGACTCTCTTGTTAAAGAAGTTATGGTGAAAATGACTTAACGAAACAATGTATACTGAGAATATCGAGGATGGAGCAACGAACCTCATTAGCTATTCCCTCGTCATCTTTGTATCCCATCTTCTCCAATATCTCATGTATAGCAGTAAGATCAATCCTCATGCAAGCCTCTCCAAACGGTGTCAACGACAAGGGCTGTTTCGAAGCAGTTCCATGTGGAATACCCATCAACACATATGATGGTACCTAACAAAACTCCATCCAATGAGTAACTTAATGGTGTTTACAAAAGATGAATCTGTAATAATGAAGGCCATAGAGTTGGGATGATGCCAAACTGCTCAAAATGAACAGTGAAAGAGTATGAACTTGTGATATCCAATAAATCAGAAATTATATGTACCTCTGCTTCCTTCTGAACTGACATGAGAGATATGACGAGAGATTTCGCGTTTGGCCTCTCACGGGCTTCATACTGCAAACAGCGAGTAGCTAACCGCACTAACTCTGTTCCGTCATCGTTTGAGAAATGGCCTTCCAAAGCAGAATCCATCAACATGAGAAAATTCTTGCCGCGGATCAAATCAAGTGCCTATAAGCATAACAGACTTTAATACCATACGGAGTAATTCAATTTGGATACACCAACATCACATCTTCCTTTTGGAACTTTTAGATCAACAAGGTTTTCCACTGATCACTAAATTACACCAGCATGCAGTTATTGCAGTTCACAATAAAGGATACTACTATGACACGAGAATTTACATGGCTGGGAGGAATATGCTTGCCACTCATAAGATCCAGCAGCAAGGTTCCAAAGCTATACACAACACTTTCCGGAGTCACTCGACCTGCCGAAGAAGCACAACATCCAGACTTTGAGTTGAGATTCAAAGTAACACATTTCTCAAATGTAAAGAATAAATGAATCATTTGAACATGTTTAACCTGTTCTAAGGTATTCTGGAGGTGTAAAAGCTAAGTTTGTACTATAACTCTTCCCATCTCTGCTGTTCTTCATGAGCCCAAAACAAGACAACCTGGGATTACCATCCTTTTACCAAAAGAAGAAAAGAAAGCCAATTCAGAAATCATAATCAAAGGGTCATTTGATTTCACAACCAAAATCTTCATGAACTTAACAAAATTACATCATCAAACAAAATCCTATAAGCATTGAGATCATGGTACAAAGCTCTCCCTTTACTGCTACAGTACTCCAAAGCTTGAGCCAAATAGAGTGCCACCCTCAACCTCATTGCCCATTTCATTGGCTGATTTTCCCCTGACAAAATTAACCCATTTTCCTTTTTTTAACTTTAATCCCAAACTCACTTTGAGTCTAATGGAAGAAGAAGAAAAGACTACTGATTTACAGTGAAAAAGATGCTTAGCCAAGGTTTCATTGGGCATAAACTCGGCGACCAACAATCTCTCATCGCCCTCACAGCAACAGCCGATCAGATTTGCCAACCGCTCACTCCTTAAATTCCCAACAGCTTTGGCTTCCTCCTAAAAGACATTCAATTTTCAAAAAGTAATCTTTACTCAGTTAAATAATCAAATAGTTAGAGAACAAAAAAGAAGTGGTGATGACTGTGAATTGTATTGAAACGGACGAGGAATTGGCGAGAATCAGGCCACGCGAACTTGTTAAACCGTTTAACGGCAACCCAACGCTCATTGTCGAGCTTCCCTTTGTAAACAACGTTCGGAGCTTTTTCACCATGTTCCGACACTATGTTATCGGAAGAAAAGCCGGACGTAGCAGCTTTGAGTTGCTCCAAGCTAAACTCAGTGAAACTCGGCCATGTGTTCTTCTCACCTTTGCCACCATTCTCTGCATTTAATTACAATTTTTACACTGAAAAAAGGAACATCTTTTGAAACAAAGAACGAGAAACCGAGGACAGAGAATGTAGTACCAAAATCGGAGGATTCGAGGACGGAAGCTTTAAGGTGAGAGTGAAACCAACAGATGGAGAATTTAGAACAACGAGCTCCCATTTTTCTTCTTCTTTCTTTCAAGCCAAATGACGGAGAATCAATGGAAAGTCAAATGATCAGACACCGTACATGTCTGCAACAATCCCGAACTGTGATCTTCGTAAATCCAAACTTTGCCTTCTAATGGATAATATCAAAACTAAAAAAAAAGGTTGTTCTTTCATACGCGTAGAGGTAGAGGTAAACGTTGGACAAGATCATAGTTTGGTTTGGTCATAAGAAAAACACTGACGTGGGAAAGAAGATTTATGAGAATGTGGGTTAGTTTGGTCTTGAATTTGGTAAAGTTGCATTAAGAAATTGACCGATTCACCATTTTTTTTGGGGTTTAAATATTTGAAAACGAGAAGAAAAAACCAGGAAATTTGGGTTCAAATCCGATGCTTGATTTGTTAAAAAATGTGATATATTTATGCATTTATATTCTACAATATTTAAAAGTATCGCGTCTTGCATGACAAATCCGCCATGGGAACACGTAGAATGTGCATGATCATCTCGAATGACTGTTACTATTTAAGAAAATTTGAAAAATTATAAAACCCCATTGATGACACTGTAGGAAATGGTGGAAAAGCATGTGATCATTGACAATGGAGCCAAGTTGTCGTCTAATTTAATTTGACTCATCAAAAAAACCTCATGCTTTTTTCAAAAAAAATTTTCCTTCTTTTTCCCAGGAAGGAATTTCAATAATGTGAGTCCGAGAAGCCATAATCAACGGAAAAAAGGTAGATAGCTTTCTTGAAAGAGATTATATTACAGGGTCTATAAGAATGTCTGGCAGGTGGTGACATAATTAGAGCCACCCCTCACTTAGTGTTCAAGAGGACCCCTTTAAGCTTTTTACAGGGTAAAAAGAGAGAGCATGTAAAAGGATAAAGTGGTAGTTATTCAGACATGCAACCAACAATGATGAAAAAAGTTGCAGTCTTTCTTTCTCTCTCATGGCCTCCTGCAGACTATTGAATCACACATGCCATTGTTGTTGTTTTCCATACTCCTTTACTTTATTGACTAAACTTTCAAAGCTTAAATTGCGCGCTTGCATTGCTTTTTCTGGTCAGTCATCCCCCACAGATAGTGTCTTGCTTACAAGTATCACGCCTAACAAGTATGGGGCCTCTTTGCTGTCAACTTGTCGACTCAAGCACACCCCAGCATGGGCAATCCAGACACAACCCCATATATCCTTCAAACTTTAGTATGGATAAGCTACAAATACAAAGAAATTATATGTTATGTATTTTAATCCATGATTCTCTAGGAAACAGAATACCTTTCCTGGCACATTATCGTGCCTTCCAAACGTATAAAAACAACTGGCACTTGGGGCCATTTAGACAAAAAAGCATTAGCTTGCACTAGAATCAGATCCTGCCAGTGCCAACACAATGCAGAGGTGTTTTTAAAGCCAGGCTACCCCATATGCAATCCTATCTTGAAATGAAACACAAGGTTTTTTAAGTCAAAATTGAAAGTATTTTATCTCAACGGCCTTATCTTTCACAGATTGGACTTTGTTGAGAGTAAAGATCAGTACTCCAGAAGCAATAGGAAGTTGAAAATTTCCATACATTAGGACTAAGGTTCGATTTTCTTAAGAATACAAATCAAATTTAGCAGCACAATTACAGTGATAGCAGTAATTTTTCATCATCTATGCACCATTCATTGCAGTATCATGGATTCCATTGGCATCCTCCTGAATCTTGCCATTCACTTGGGTTCTTGGCCTCTAAATAAATTAGAAAAAGAGACATAAATACCGATCTAAATTCGATATCTAGATGAAGGTAATGAAATCACTATACCCGATCTGCAGGGTCCACAGAATTCCCGTTCAAGAGCTTGTGATTCTCTTCTTTGGTTTTACTATCCTTGTCTATGGTACTCAAGGATAGCAACAAAAGTTTGATAAGATCAGAATACTCAAACCTGGCAGCTTCTTGTCTATGAAGAATGCCACTAAATTAACAGTATACCTACAGAAAAAAAATATGGCACCATTGCCAAACTAAATCAAAGAAAATATAAAAAACCCTAACTGTAAATTGAAATTTCAAAAGTGTACTACATACCGTGCAACAACTACGTCAACCGTGTAATGTTTGCGGGATGCCACAATCAAGAGACTTGAACAATAGCTACCAACCAAGCAAAGTGCTTTATACAGCTGCAAATAGACAAACAATACCATCAGAAATCTATCAATCAGTTGCTCATATGTATGTCAATGTAGCATGCAATAACGCATTGCCTATTACCAGATCTAAACATTTTGCTTTTGAGAATCAGAAATGTTATGAGAATGGCATTCAACTATTTTTTTCGTGTTCCCAAGAATTATATATTGTTTTATTCTTTATTCCTTTTGGGGTTACTAGCTAAAAACAAGTGAAAAGAGTAAGCCATCTTTCACCTTTTTGTGCCGTATTTCTGATACGTGAGCACAAAGACCAGGGTGAAGATCACATGTGACGAAAAAATCAAGTCTCCACAACCATATATTAAACCACGAGGAACTGCAAATTTGTTGAGCCAATGAGCCGAAATGTTCATGATAAAAACGCATCTATATCTTTAAAGCAATAAATTGAAATTTTCAACAAAACACAAGAATGCATACAATTAATTAAGAGGACTTCTAAAGCACTATGTGGTTTAGGCAACCTGGCAAGCTTTGAACCCTGCCACAAGAAACATAATTATTTACCAAATGATCTTAAAAATTCAAAATTTAAACATAAAGTGAAGGGCAAGCTTCACATATAATTTCAATACTAACCTCTCGGCAATGATAGTTTGGCCCTGGAAGCTGAGTATAATAGAATGTGATAATTCGGAGAGTCTGAGAAGCCTGCAGCAAAAATAAACAAAGAAAAGAAACAATTGTGAGTTAAATATGAGGAAATGCTTAAAGTATATAAAAATCAAAAAGCTTTTGAAATAGAGTTCTTAGATCAGAATTTGGATTCTTTATATATATAAATGAATCTTCTTCCTTTCAAAGAAAAATGAAAAATACATAGAGGATGAATGAAAAATGGATTAGCTAACTGTTGAGCGTAACAAAAATGTCTATTATATATGTTTTTAAAATAAATTAGATTCAACATTTAAAAATAATATTATTAAAAGAAAATAAAAAAATCTTAAGCATAAATCATAAAATAAAATAGAAAATAATGCAAAGAAAAGAGAAAACAGATGTGACATAGGGTTAAGAAATGAACACTCAAACTCAAAACATTATATGCTATAATAATTTAAAACTTGAACTCATAATTTAAAAGAATTTTGTTTCTAATGAATACTGAATTTAAAATTTAAAGGAGAAGTGAATGTTAATTAAAATTTTTTAACCAAATATTCTAAACAATTTGATGTAACTTTAAAAGTAAACTGATAAAAAATATATTCAGAATAAAATAAAAAAGTGAATATATGGATTTAACTCTAAAATAAAATATAGGAGTAATTATTATTGATTGTGACTGGAAAATGGGTTCAAATAAATGAACCCAAAACCGAGGTCCGCATTTTAATGTCCATAGCTTATCTTTGGGGTGTAAATTGAGGGAGCCCATGTCCTTATTATCTCTCTTCAAATATCCCTTTGTCTTTCCCATTACATGGAGCACCCTTAGCTATCACATCATTTTCTGCTTCACGACGCTTGTGTGATACAGTAAATCAAGCAAAACCCTTTTTTCTTTGTTTTCCCTCTTTCTATGTCAGTAACCTTTAGTTTCATTTTCATGGCATTCCAAGGATCTAGCTTTTGCTACGATGTAAGTTTAACTTTCTCCTACTCCTACACATCTTTCTTGCTGCTAAAGCATTAGTTGATGTTGATTACTTGAATTTGATAAAATGGGTAGTTTTTTATTTTTCAATCTACTTAATAACCCCTTTTAGTTTCATATTCTTGAATCCTATAGATGTGGTTCCAAGCTCACTTTTTTCTATATCTGTTTATTTTGGGAAGAAAGAAAAAAGGAATTTCCTTGAACAATGGAAGATGAAACTTGCCATATTGCTTGAGAAAAAAATGGGAAATGTTTTGTTTATATTTACCAAGATATTTTGTAATTCGGTTACCCTTGAATTATTTTTTGTTGCTGTAGGTAAATGTTAATGCATGCCATGTTCAAGCACTAATTGTTTTAAGTGTTCATTGCCGTTTTCCATTACTTCCAATTCCAGAGGCATGTAATGTGGTTTTAGCTAAGGCTTCAAGAGGAAACAAAAAGGAGTTTCATGCGGACTGTCTCTCTCCAAGTTGCCAAATGGAAGGCCTCGTAAGTTTCTTGGATTTGCAAATTATCTGTATATATACATTCTGATATCTTCGAGCTTTTTCATATAAATTAGGTAATTGTGAAGTTGGCTGACCTTTTCTTCGGTTAGATTGTCGAGACAATCCGCTTTTTGAGCCCATATTTAGTTTCCAGTGAGTTCTTCCATATATATTAATGTTGGATGAATGTTACTTTCATTAGGTTTCTTCACACCACCAATATAATTTTCTCCTTTTCCTTGTTGGGATTTGAGTTTCACACAGTTCTAACTGCTGATTAATTTAGTTCAGCACTCTTTTGAAAAAAAATCTGCATATGCTTCTGCCGTTGCCTTGTCAATCCAAAGGGATGACATTTGAGGTTGTGTTTGATTGGGGGAGAATGTGAGATTCCCATTAGAATGAAATTCACATTCTTCCGTTTGGTTGGCCGAAAATATTATTCCTAGTAATTTTACATTAACAATAGTGGATTTTTTTGTGTATATTACCGGGAATGTCATTATCTCCCTTTCCTTAGGTATTGTTGGATTACTGGCGTTTTAGACTAAAATGTTCTTAATTTTTTTCTCAAAAATATCTTTATTCTGTCATTAAATAATAAAATTTCTACGAATGTTAAATTACAAATTTATCCTTAAATATTTTAGATTTGCTAAAAAAATCTATAATTAAAATTTTATATGAAGTTTAGGGGTTAAAATAAAATTTTACCCTTTCATTAATTTTTTTTTATATTTTCAGATTTGTACAAAAAAAATTATATAAATTTTATGAATTTAAATTTTTTAAAGAAAATATATAAATATTTTCCAACTTATTAAAAAAACAAATATATAATAAGAACAATTTGGTTAAATATATATTTCAATAATCTTTTATTCCTTTAACCAAACAAGATAATTTTACATTCCTGTTAAACTAATCAAACACAAAATACAACATTCCCAGTAATCTTATTCCCCGGTAATATTTTATTCCCACTGGTAATCTTACATTCAGTGAACCAAACGCATCATGAAGGTAACCTAGATGCCGAGAGCATCATATCGGATGAACAAACCTTACAGAGGGACCTACAGATTGCCATTGAGGAAGAAAACTATGCTGAAGCAGCAAAAATCAGGGATGACCTCCGAGTCCTACATGAGGATAGTAAGGCTTCGGTACTGGCTGCAAATTCTCGATTTTACAACGCTTTTAGGAGAGGGGATCTAGCCACGATGCAGAACCTTTGGGCAACAGGAGATGATGTTTGTTGTGTGCACCCAACTGCAAACGGTATATGCGGTTATGATTTTGTAATGGAAAGCTGGGAGATTGTGTTGATGAACTATGAATTTCCACTAGAGATAGAACTGAAAAATGTTTGAGTTCATGTTAAAGGAGATTTTGGGTACGTTACATGCATGGAATTCATCAAGACAACAAAAGGTAACAACTGGGGAGCACAGTTCTTAACGAACGTGTTTGAAAGGATTAATGGTCAATGGTACATATGCATTCACCATGCTTCTCAAGCTGACTTGTGAAAGCATAGTCCACTATATCAGCATGCTTATGGACATTCTTTTTGTTTTTTTACTTGAAAACGTTTTGAATAATCATCCATATAGCACGGTATTCCACATTGTTCGACTTTAATACTTATTACGTTGTTGCTTGATCATAAGCATATTATTACAAAGTTTGTCCTAACAAATAGGACTATGCTGTTATTGGCTTTAAAAAGGACTGACCTACTTGATTAAAACAGTGATATATATATATTAAATTACCATTATTATTTCTTTCTACAAGTGGTCTATTTGGTAATGTGCGATTCTTACAAAATCACGATGATTAACCATGTCGAACAAGCCTATACCTCAAATCCAATTCCCTGTATGTGTGTGGTGATTAACCCCAAATTTTAGTGCCGTTGAGACTTTTTTATATACTTGAAAAGTGAAGAAGGCCTGTGCTCGAAACTATTAACTATACCCTCCCAACGGGGGAATGTGGTGGGTTCGGAGCATATTTTGCAGGCAAGGTTCCAAGGGCAATGGTTGGTTTGTTGTCTACCCCAAAGCTGCCATCCAACATTTTCTCCTTTATTACTTTTCCTTCGGGCAGGTTACTGAATTCCGGTGAATCAGAGGATTGTTTCTGACAACTTATAACTGTTACGGAGATAAAGAACGCTTGCAATGCAGTGATGGATGAACTAAACTCGATTGCATAGATTCCTTTTTTATGTGGAACCAAGCTGAACATAGGCATGTTCTTATGTGTTTTCCCCTAAATGAAGTACATAACAAGAACTTAGATATCCGGATGATATTATAACACAGTGGAGAACGAATAGGTAACACAGTAGAAAAGAGGATACCTGTGGATAAAGTTCAAGACGGTCCAGGCATGCTTGATGCATCCTTGAATTCTTACAGCATCTCCTGTTCTGGTTGGAGAGAATATGTAATTTGCAACCAATGTCCCAACCTCCACAGTCGCATAATCCACCGTATCTCCATCGGTCAATCAACGGGGAATGCATTCCTTTGTTTGGCAAGCCGTGGACTCCACCAGGAAGTATGACAGTAGTACTACTGAAGCTTGGACTTTCCATAAAGTTGCATGTGCATCCATCTGTAGCCAAAGATTCTGTAGAGCCAGTCTTCTCTACTTCTTTATCAGTCTGCTGTAAATTGCTTTCACCAGGTATTTTGATGACAACAGCAGCAAGTTCCGTACTTGGTGTAAACTTCGCCAATGCTTGATCTGCTTGTCTTTGCTCCACACAGAACAAAACAGACTCTCTTACCAGATAATTGCAAGAGTTCTCTGCAGTCACGTCTGAAATATGAGTAGGAAATCTTCATTTGTCCAATGATATTATAGATGTAACCACAATTTTTTTCCTTGTTTCCTTTACTTATCCAGCTGTCACTCTTCTTCTTAATTTCTCTAACTGAAGAGAATACACATTTCTCATCCGATCTCACCTTGCTAGATGATGCTGGACTTTTCACAGTAGTTGCCAGCATGTTGCTGCCATTGGTGACAACAAATCTGAACAGTGGGAGTCCATTCTTCATTGCAACCTCTAGAAGAGCTTTAATCGTTGATGGCCCCAACTTTTCTTCCTGAAAGGATTCATTTGTATTAAGTGGACGTTGAGCAGAGGAGTTCGAGCTTCCTTTTGATCGCTGAACAGTGTCAATGGATTGGAAGGAATTTAAGCCCTTGTACTTCAGTAGCGGATCCAGAACCCTTCTAAAGGGGCTGGATCTAGTTCTATGATGGCCATTCAGCTTCTCTATGTTTGCATCATCCGGAAAACCAGAAGATTCTGGCCTTACTGGACCAGACCTCACGGAAACATAATCGGAGCTCAATTGTGGGACTGCAGAACTTTCCTTAAAACTGAAACTTCTAGTAATACGACTTAAGCTGAAACTAAAACGGCGGGTTGGTGAATTAGTTCTTCTTCTTTCGGTTGCCATCTCAGCCATTTCTTCCTCTAGTTTCTTCAAAGTTTCAAAATCAGCATCTTAAGACTTGGTCTTTTTATCTGCTGAATACATGCCCTGAGACCTTATATTTACTGTGTTATCTGACAACACAGACCCACTTGATGCATTAGACGAAGGCTCCAGACCCCGTGTCATCATGTCAGTTTCAGGATTCATCTCAACTCCAGAAGGAAATGTACAAGAACGTGGAACTTCAGAACATAATTCCCGAAAATGATCCTTCTGAAGCAGGTCATAGGAAGAGAATTCCATTTTGCTACATTCAAATTCCTATCTCGGGATTCTTCAAAAAGGTTGTTTCGGGTAGTACTTGGAAGAAGAACGTTCTTGTCCTCACCAGGAAGACATTCATCATTAAGATCAAGTTCCGATTTATCGATCTCTTTGTTCTTAGGTTTGTGGCTTTCAGCACTGAGCATTTTGCTGGAACCCGGTGAAACTGCATGGTTTCTTGATTTGGATGAGGAAGCCTCCATATCTGAAGTACCTTTATCATCCAAGTCCTTATTTATATCAGTTTCCCTCCGTTGCTCTACCCTGTTTCTTGCGCCATCATCACAAACACATGCAGTTTCCTTTGGCAGAGGTGAGACTCCACGATTTCTCATGTTTGAAGGCATATTTCCCATTTCTGAAGTGATTTTCTGATCTGATTCTTTTCTCTTCCCCTCAAGAATTGCATCTGAATTAATTTTGTTGAAGGATTTATACGTCTTGGGTGTCTTCGTCTGCTGATCCAAGGTGCTCTTGGAAGCAGTTTCAATATCTTGGTAGTGTCTAACTTTTGGAATAGATGGTTTTGCACCTCGAGGAATGCCATCCTTTTGAGATGGGGCAAGACTTGAACAAGTTGAGAAGTGTTGCTTACCTATATAGGCAGAGGCAACCTTGGGTACAACATTAGAAAAGGCAGACGACTTGGTATTTGTTTTCGATGATAAAATAGCAATTGTGGATGATTCATCATTGCCAGTCTTTGTTGGTATATGCTTTCGGTGGTGCTTCCATTTTTCTAGACGTGCCCAATCCAGAACTCCAACATTCAATGCCTTCTCTTGAGGGTTATCTGAACTGTCTACTCGCTGTAGGTAACCCGGCAAGTTTGACATGTACCTAACAAGCTCATCTTCTTTTGTTGACTTGCTCTTGAGAGGAGGTTTTGTTTCAACCAAGGCGCTTCGAATCTGTTTGTTCCCTAATTCACCCGGCAGAACCCCATACGGAAAAGTAATACCATTTTTTACATTGGACTTGCCTTGATTCTTTAACCTTAGTTCTGCATGTGGCAAGTTAGCTTTCTCCTTCCCTGTCTTTGTTCTTTGCTATAGATTTGAACTCCTTTCTGACTTGGAACAAAATCCCATGTCCTCTAATTATTCATTAGGTTTTCTTCTATCAGGTGTCAATGAATTCTTTTGCGTTACCATCCCATCTTATCTGCAAAATTGCCAAGTCTAGTTTCTCACATTAGTTGTTCACCCATTTGATTGAATTTGTGGTTGAATATGTGTGTATATCACATGCACTAAATAATTGCTACTCTTAAAAGCCACATTATCAATACATGCCAAGTTTCCTGTCATAACCTTATTCTAATCATCAATGGCCAACAAATGCAGCAAAAAAAAAAAAAAAAGAACTTATTCGGATCATCCAGGGTCAAACAAATTCATGCTCAACATTTTTATTTGCCCACATAGAAGTCCATTTCCCTCTAGAAGAAAAAAAACACAAAATCAAAGGGGCAAAGGCATGGAAATTAAATTTACACCCAAAGAGAGCAAAAGCAACATTAGAAAAGATGTGGCAGCTCAGCAGGCAACCAATCAATACAAATGACTTGGGTGATTCCCTATAAAACACTAGTCTCCACTGTCAGTTACCATTGTAAAAGTCCCGAAGTTGTAGTCTTTTTCTTCCCATTTAAACAATGTCTATCTCTAGGTCTAGTAATCAAATTAACTACAGTCTACAGAAGAGAAACACGAAAGATTCTAAATTCTTAACAACTTTTTGATTTATGCATCTAAATCCTGGGACATCATAAAGCTCTGATAAAGATACATTCTCCACGATCAAACACAATCAGTTTCATTTGATTCAAGTCGAAAACAAAAGAATCTCACATGTCCATTAAGAATCCTAGTCCAGAATAACTGAAGGCAGCCTCTTTTAAGCACTTGAGAAATTTACAGAAAATGAAAAAGAGTCCGCATTCTAGCATCGTTTACAAAATTCAATTGAAGCAAAATGAACAGAACAAAAGTGCTTAGAACTAAACTATTTCTTTACTTTTCTGAATTTCCTTCTTGTTTCCCGGCAACCAAACACAACACTAATTAACTAGCAAGAAAAGAACGAAAACAAAAAGAGAAATTAATCAAAGAAAAGTAGTGTGTGTGTGTGTGTAAGAGAGAGAGAGAATCATTCATTACCAGGTAGAAACGAAACCAATGCAGGTTGAAGAAAGCGAAGCAAGTCTTGAAAAGCTCGTCGTCTCTAAAGAAGATACCTATTACAGAAATAAAAGTAAGTCGGCGAAAATTCCGAACACCGAAAAAAAAAGGAAAACTGAAACGTAGAATACAAGCAAAGCAAAGAATTAAAAAGAACTACCTCAAAATGAGAACAAGGAACGAATGATATATCGCTGAACCAAATGCAATCACCAAATCTATTTCTTCTTCAACAAAATATCAATTTTGTTTAAAAATATTAATCCAAAAGGAAGAAGAAGAAATCGAGTGGCGGAAAAAACAGAACGCGGCTAAGCAAAGTTTTGTTTGGGAGCGAAGTGAGAGTGAGAAGGTTGAAGTTGACGTTTTATAGTTTTAGATCGGACGGTTAAAAAACAAACAGTGGATTAGGCTATAAATGTGGGCCCGTCTCTTGTGACTTTGAATACCATTTCCCCCACCCGTGGGTAGAGTGTAGTCCCAGCAACACCCCCTTCTTCTCCGACCTGGTCTCATATTGTTTCTCTCTTACCTCGTCTTTATCATTACAATGGGATATACTTTAGAGAAAATAACTTCACTAACAAAAAAATATCTTATAATATACGAATTTAATAAATTTTTTTTAGATTTATCAAAATGACCAATAATTCGCAACGCAAATTCTAATTTCACAACCCAGTTTCCAATTTCGCAACGCAAATATGTAAATCGCATTGCGACTTTCTAAATTCGCAACGCGAAAGTCAAATTCGCAACTGAATTTCAAATTCGCAACGCGAATTTAATTTCGCAACAGGTTTTAGTTTTGTAACACAAATGTTTTGGGTATATAACAACGCAGCAGCAACAACTCATAACCTAAATCCCTAAATCGCAACTCATTCCATCTCCATCTATCACTCTCTCCGGCGACATCCGTTCCTATATCCAACGACATCCTTCCTCATCTCTATTTTTTTTACATAATTTTATTTCTATATAATTTTTCAATGATTTCTCTCCCAAATTATCAACTATCAACTTAATAAAGATATGTTTTTCTCTAAGTTAGTGATAATATCTAGTTTATAGCTCGTTTGTTTAGTAAATTAATTTACAATTTTTAGAATGAAATCATCTAATGTTGATCATGTTTGGATAGATTTGTGTTTTGGAGGGTCATGAGAGAATGTTCATGGTGTTTTACAATATGTGCCTTTACCCATGAATCTTCAACTAAATCTGTTATTAAAAAGTTAACTTATGAAACTCTAATGTTACGTGTTGCAAAGAAATTGAATTTAGAGCCTCTAAGTGGATTTAGGCTATCTTATCTGAGAAAAAGGTAAAGTTTATTTGTTAACCGACAATGAAGATGTTGAATGATTCATTGCTTACATTAGTGTTTCGCAAGAAGATGATGTTACATTATATGTTGTTGAACCTAGAAGTAGTGAAGTTGGGTCAGTAGCGGGTAGTAATCAACTAAGTTCTTCAACCTAAAATTTAATGGTTCCACCACAATTTCATCACCAAGCAAATTTTGTTTCACCACATTTCCAATACCAAACACAATATCAAACACAATCTCAAAACCCACAACCTTTTCCTAATCCAAATCCCAATCAACTTTCAGCACCAAATTCCGGTTTCCGTATTGACTAGTTAGACGATTATGAGCCAACAGAAAAAATTGTGAGTATTAGTCAGTATTCGAAATTTGATCTTGGTCAATACCCGGACTTTGATCTTGGTCAATACTCGGATTTTGATGATATGATGGAAGAAGAAACAGACCCTGCATGTAATGATTTTGATATTGGTCAAAATCCGAATTTTGATGATGAAACAGCCGCTGTCGAGGAAGATGTTGTTGATGATAATGAGGAGGAAGTTACGACTGTGAATGAACATGTTGAACATCCATTCTGTAATTCATATAACCCTGAAAAAGAAAAAGAAGAAGAAGAAGTCCCCGAAGAAAGGAAAAAGAAGAAAATACCACGGGAGTATAACTGGAATATGCCAGAATTACTTCAGATACCGGAAGAAGAGTTGGTAAAGATATCAGTTGATTGTTACCCAAAAGTTATTCGTATCAAGAAAGATGATTGTTTTGATACAAAGGAAGACTTGAAGATAGCTTTGTATACGAAATGTGTGGAAGATGACTATCAACTAAGAGTTAACAAATCAAGCAAAGATCGTTTAGAAATAAGGTGTATGATTGAAAAAAACTGTATTTGGTGTATGATTGCTAAGAGGATAAAAGATTGCGAAATGTTTCAAGTTAGGACTTTTATTGATAAACATACATGTTCAAGAACCCAAGTTTTTCCTCACCATAGACAGACAAACAAAAATGTGTTGGGTGGTTTTCTGGGTGAGTTAATGTTTTTGAATGGAAGAGTATATCGGGGACATGAAATTATGACTGACATGAATGCTCGGTTCAAGATTAGTATCTCATATTCTCAAGCTTGGAGAGCCAAATGTTATACCTTGGAATTGTTGAGGGGGTCACCAGAAGCATCGTTTGCCCAACTGTCGGCTTATTGTCACAATTTAAAGCTGAAAAATCTTGGGTCAGTAACTCATATCAAAACATATAGAGATGAATGCTTTGAGTTGATGTTTATCGCCATTGGTACTGCGGTTAGTAAATAATTATAATTTTGTTGACTCATTTTTGTTAGTTGCATGTATTTCACATTTAAATGATTATATTTCTTGTGTATATGATTGTGTAGATTCGTTCGTTTATTACTTGCATGTGCCCAGTTATTATAGTTGATGGAGCACATTTGAAAGGTCGATACCTTGGAGTAAACTTATTAGCAGTAGCCATGGATGCTAACAATGGGATACTGTCAATAGCTTACGGGGTTGGCAAATCTGAAACCTCTGATTCATGGACATGGTTTATGGGGCATATTAGGGATTGCATAGGTCCTATTAACAATCTGACAATCATATCCGATAGGAAAAACTCAATTGACAACGCTGTTAGAAAGTGTTTCCCAGATGCTTTTCATGGACTTTGTGGTGTTCATTTGTACAGAAATCTAAAATCAAGGTCTGCTGGTATAAAAAATCACAAATGAACATACTGGAAGGCTGTAAAAGCTTATCGGGAAGTGGATTTTAATAAGCATATAAATTGTTTAAGACGTGTTTTGCCTCAATGTGCTCAAACACTAAAAGATGTCGGGTTTGAAAGATGGTCAAGAGTACATCAACTTGGAGCAAGATATGGTTTCATGACGTCTATTAGTGCAGAATCAATCAACGCTCTAAGTCGTCATTCCCGGAAATTACCCATTACTATGTTAATGGAGTTTTTTTGAGCCTCTATTCAACAGTGGTACGACAAGAAAAGAAACCATGCAAGTATTATTTCTTTAAATTCGTAACTTATCATATATTTTACTAAGTATTATTTATTTAAATTTACAGGAACATTGGAACGTCGTGTTACACCATGGACTGAAAAAAAGATAACGAAATGTGTTGTGAAGTCAACGTCCTGGAGAATTGAACCATGTTCAAACACTTTGTTTGAAGTATTGGATAATAATTTAAATGGACTTGTCGATCTAAATGCAAAGACGTGTAGTTGTAAGAAATGGCAAACATCTGGTTATCTGTGTGACCATGTTATAAAATTTGTTCTTCATCTAAACCAAGATGATTCAAGCACATACGCTATGGATTGCTACACTACAGAAGTATATCGACAGACTTATGCCGAGATTGTCTACCCATGTCCACATCCTTCTGAGTGTGATATACCAGATGACTTACAAACAATTTTGCCACCAGTCATGGACAGTAGGCTACCTGGCCGGCCAAAAAATCACGATCGTATAACGTCTAAGGGTGAAGAGAAGAGGATATCGACATGTAGTCGATGCAAGGATAGTGGTCATACAAGGTTGACCTGTGGATCACCAGTGCCATCACAATCATCTTTTCCACTATAAAAAAAATGGATCCTCATCAAAATCCAAATCTCATATGGTGTCAAGCAAAAGGAAATCAAAATCGCAATCAAAATCAAAATCCCAATCACAACCGGCTTCACCTTTTGGGACTTATTAACTTAGGTGATTTTTAAATGCAAACGTTGTATTATGTGTATTTTATGTGTGAATGTATACATTTTCAGTTAGACATTCATTAGTAACTTGAGTTTGAACATTGATATGATATGTTCAGTTGTTATCATGTTGGGATTTTCTCTTGTGTTTGATTGCTTGGATAGTTGTTCTCTTGCTTCTTCAAGTGTCATTAGCTTGTATTTTATAGCTTGGAATGTGTTTGATGTTGTATATACCTTGATGTTTTATGTTGCGATCAACACGAAAGTCAAATTCGCAACGCGAAATAAGCGTTGCGAATTTGACTATAGCGTAGCGAATTTGACTTTCGCGTTGCGAATTTACCTTCAACAGGTCTTTTTTACCTTCAACATAATTCAGATTGAAAATTAAACAACAATCAATTAAACATTGTTGTGGGTACATTATTTGAACATTGTTATGGGTACATTATTTGGAAAAATAATGTTTTGGACTTCGTTAGAAATAAACATTTTTCATCAGATTAAAGACTAAACAGTTTAGCAGTATTGGCAGCAACCGAATGAATTTAGCAATCTCATTGAAATGGTTAATCTAATAATAATGCAAAAATTTCAAAATAAAAATAAGAGATTAAAAAAACTAACCCTCGATGGTTGATTTTCCATTTCTGACCGTGAATGGTTGTGAGGGTTGATCTAAGAGATGGAGATAAACTGATTTCGTCGAAAATGGGGATGAATTTCGTCGGAGATGGGGACGGATGTCGCCGTAGAGAGTGAGAGATGGAGATGAGACTGAGTTGTGCTTTAGGGTTTTAGGTTATAGATGATTTGCGATAACACTGTTTACATTTGTGTTGCGAAATTAATATTGTGTTTCACGTAAAAACATTTGACTTTCGCGTTGCGAATTTGACTTATGTGTTGCGATTTCCAAATTCGCATTGCGAATTTGACTTTCGCGTTGCGAATTTGGAAAATCGCAACGCGAAATTGGAAACTGGGTTACGAAATTGGAATTCGCGTTGCGAATTTGTTGGTCATTTTGGCAAATCCAAAAAAAATTG